CCATCCACATCTAGTGAAAACTAGTGTAATTGGATGAGTCATATAACGCAAACACTCATTGGTATGCTATTCTTCAAATGTGTGCCGGCGCCAAAGGAAATCATCAGAAGCAAGCAGGAGTTCTTCAATCTGCAAACATGAATTGCCTATGCCATGCTACGATGTAGGATTCAGAAAAAGATGTTGAACTGTCTGAAATGCCTGAAACAGGCGAGAGCGTATCGGAAGATGGAGACAGAGACCAACAAGACCTCCCTAATCCTTAGCCCTATCTCAAAGAATTTGTCGAAATAGCCTAAAAATTGAGCTTTCAATTCATATAGTGGCATCTGGCTATTTCTTTTAAAGGTTACTTTATACTTTAAGTAGTTTTCGGAGCACATACCGTACTTTTTCATTTTTACTTGAGTAAAGAGGTCAAGTTGATACTTCAACTTTTACCAGAGTTTTTTTTAAACGGCAGTTTCTATACTTCTACAGTACTTAGGTAACAAATGTGTGTACTTTTGACACCACTGCCATATACCAGTTACTGATAACTGCTCGGGAGGTTACACAGTGCTCACACTATTTTTTCATGAAGCATCATTTTCATCAGGGATAAAGATGTAGATGCTCCCAAGCTGTGCTGGCTGCCAGCCCCTCTTTGCCCCAGTATGAACATTTAGTTATAAACTGTGATCTATTTGCATCAAGTTTACATGTCAATGTGATGATTATAATGATGAAATAAAAAATTTTTTAACTAGTTTTTGTTTTGAGGTCGGGAGAGCTCCTATGCTCACTTCATAGGAAATATAGTGGTTCCCAGCTCTGTTCCTCAGGGACCCTGTCCTGCATGTTTTAGGTGTGTCCTTGTTGCCTCAAACCAGAAAAGAATGGATGATTAACAAGCTTCTGCAGCAATTGATTGCAAAGGAGCACAGTAAATAATTGGATGCTAAGAACTCTGACTTAGCCTATTTAAATCCTAATGGAGTATTTACAACTATACCGAGTGTAAATCTGCACAAGTGTTGGAGTAAATAATCAGTGTAAAATTTTACAGCAATGCAGTGTAACTTTTACTCTATATGTCTATATGTGTAAATTAACCGCCAGTCTCTGAGAGGTATTCTTGATTTTGACACTATTATAAGTAAAATTAACTGACTATAGAGTAAATTTTAAACAAATTTGGAATGTGACCAAAGTTTATCTGAAACAGAGTTACATTGTACTCTGTAGGTGTTAAAGTACGGTTTGTTTTCTACTGTGAGGAGCCCTAACTTAAATCAGGTGTGCTAGAACAGAGACATATCTAAAACACACAGTAGAGGGGTCCTCAGGAGTCCTTAATTACCAGGGTTGAGAACCAACGAATTAATAAAACTGCAAACTTACAGCTGACTGGATGCTGCGCAGTCCCCCCCATTGCCAAGAAACAATTCCAAACATGCTGTTTTTTGCTTTTTCTCTCTGTTGTTATGCCTACCGATCAGTGTGCAGGTGGCTGTACTATGTGTGCTCTCTTCTCGTTGCAGGGTGTGTCAGGAGAGTGGGAGCAAGGGAGCTGGTGGTTGTTGACTTCAATAAGGACACTAGTTTTAGATGTGATCAACCATTGAATGGCTGTTATCAGCGGTTATCGGTCTAAAGGCTTCAGACTGTGCCTCCTCCACCTTCTAGTAGGTTTCTTATGGCTACTAAATGCAGCTTGTTGTTGACAATTGCTGCTTCAGCCACGTCTAAAACCTTAAGATTTACCTATTTACCTACTTTATACTTTTTATCTACTTTATTTACAGCCTAAAAATGTGTTATAAAGCTTTACTTTGAGTGAATCCCACATGTTTAAGTCACAGGGTTTTAATGTGGGGTTTAAAAACAAGTTGAAAGAATATGAGATTTATTTGTGAGGGCTTGTTTCGATATGAGTGACACGCTTTTATTTTTAAATACATGAAGAAACACTCTGTTCAGATTCCAGATAAATACATTAATTAATTCTGTGGATAAAAAAGGAATTACCTTTGGATTAGGATTAATTTGATGATAACTTACTGAGCCCACTGATAGATAGGAGGCACAATCTGAAGCCATTCTGTGGGACTGATAACCAGTTCCCTTGGAAAAAATGGAGTTCAGCTGCCTGTATGCTGGTGAAAATTCTCAGTCATCCAGGTCATAGTCATTCCAAAAAAGTAAAAAACAACAATCCACTGGACTTTGACTCCAAGTTTGAAGACATTTAGCTTCACATCCAGGAAGCTTTTTCAGTTCAAAATGTACAACTGCCAGATCAAGTAATCTCCTACCTGTCCACTCTCTGTGCTCATTTCCTTGCTACCTGCACAATCTCGCAACGAGAAAACTGAGCACAGCCACCTGTCAATCCCAGACCCTCATGGGCAGCTCCATCTTTGCCCCAATCATCCTCTTTATTTAAGAGTTCTCGCCTTTTTCAGAATCCTTAGCAACCCCAGCTCTCTGAGCATTAACCATTGTCATCTCTTCCCTGTGCTCAGGTCGAACCACAACCGGAGTCTTGAGGATTCTTGTCGGCCTGGAAGGCTTGTTGAGAACTTCCAGTAATCTATTGCGTTGGATTTTAGATTTTTTTTTTTTAACAGAAAGAACTCAGAGCCAAAGTGAATGGCATTTTATCTGAGCCACTATGTTTCTCTGCTATGTTTTTTCCCCGTTACTTTTATACTTTATACAGAAATATGTTACAGTGTCTATGAAAACAAGTACATTTTAAAATATAATATTTGCTTTAAAATGTGCAATTTACAGTCATAAATTTGTTCCACAACAATGAATCCTGCCATTGTCCACTTTTGGACGATTTTAACAGTTAGTTGGATCTTTCTCTATTGTTTCTCAACACATCCAAAAAAAAAAAAAAATAACATGCTTATCAATTTTAAAACACAGGCTCGAAACCATTAATGATGAACTGACTTATAACCAGTGATGGGAGTAACGGCGTTGAAAGTAACGGCGTTACTAACGCCACTACCTTTTTTTAGTAACGAGTAATCAAAATGTTTACTCTTACTGTAACTATAACGCAGTTACAATTGCCGACACCCCATTACTGCACGTTACTCAGGTCTCACAATTAACCTTTTTACATGATAGGACTCGTTCGCGCGTCATGAGAGAGGGGAGGATGGAGAGTGAGGAGGACTCCAGCAGCAAAACAGCGTTTTCCAGATGGAAATACCGGTGTTACGTCGAGCTGCGTTTCCCCATCAAATACGGTTTTCCCTGCCTCTCCACACAGCGCAGCGGCACGATTCACCACGCAAGTGACAGGAAACGTGCATGCTCGCTAAAGGCACGAAACTGACGCCCTGTGCTCGCGCCACAGGGGAACTATGGAGAGCGTGAACGATCAAATGTTAGCCTATATGGAGAAAGTGAGAAATCTGGATGGATGGATGGATGGATGGATGGATGGATGGATGGATGGATGGATGGATGGATGGATGGATGGATGGATGGAT